TTGCAAAATACAAATCTACAATGTTACTGCAAATGTGATTCCTTTACCTTGGCTTCACTTGAATCTGAACAACTTTCGACAAACTTTTCTAGTTCGGGAAGAGATGTACTTTATACCTATTTCACTTATTTTGGAGTTTATTCGTAGTATAATCAACATTGGCGTACATTTTGGTTCTCTCTTCCGTACTAGCACAGGAAATTCCTTCGATATGGGACTACTCCCAATTTCCTCAAAATTAGTGGCCATCTCTCTTAATAAACCTAACTAAAATGACGATTTATCTAACTAAAAGGCTTTCGCAGAATTCAATAGACTGAATGTATCAAAACAGTGTTACTAAATATACGCTTAATTACATAGGCGAATTTCATCATGAAGGTTGCATGGTCTTTGGCGGCAACTGTATTTAGAAAAAAAGCTCAGAGAGTCGACTTTACCATCTCTATCTAATCTTCGGCAGCAATCGATTGTCCGAGCTGTTCAACCAGCTGTAGTCCAAATTCAAAGAGGTAACTGGCAGGGCTAAAGCATTTAATCTCTACGTAAATCGCACGCGATCCCTCCAGTGTATAATTTTGCATGTACTCATGAGTGGTGGTTGTGGTGATGAAAAATTAGGTGTTTGTGCGGTCTACCATGCATGGAGACAAATATATCTATGCGAAAACAGTCGAGACAATAACGGACAAAAATCAGAGCGTGACATGGAGAAAAGGGTGACAGACACACTTCCAATTTCCGTGAGATGAATGAGTGATATTTTGTCCATATTCATATGGGATGCATATGTAAATGGAAAATTGAGCGCTGATTTTGTCTACCATGCAGCGTTTTAACGCGCGTTTTCATGTACGCAGACGCGACCATGCGAAAAAGTGTAGACGATGACGACAAAACTTGGTTGGTGCACTAGACACTGACTCGTCGGTCTTTATGCCATTGATTAGCGAGTGAATGACTAAGCCGTTGCGAGTATGATTGCAATGTAGTCGGGATTGATTGGCTGCTACACAGTCGGTTGCGTTGGTGAAGCTTTTAATGGTGGACATGCTGGCGGATGGGCATTTTTCGAGTGTGCAAGTGTGTGTGGCATGGCAATAATGCCACGTATTCCTATCTAGCTGACGCGCATGCAACCGAATACGCCCTTGCGGAATTTGAACATGCGTGCCTAATATGGACAGTGCGGGAGGATGCGGTGAGTGGATTTTGAGGTTGGTGCATAGGTCGTGAGCTAGTGATTGACAAAGAACCGTTCAGGCCAGAGCATCAGATGAATATGCAATGGTAGTCACGGCAGGTTAAGATCCAATCCACATTTCCGGTAGTAGGGCGGTGATGGTGAGGGTAGAGGTTGACATGACCTCGCGAATGAGAGTTGTAGCATCCGTCTTCACGAGGTTTATGCTGACGTTGGTTGACGGCGGTGAGACATCAAACATGTGATCATGGATGAAAGGACCATGGCCGCCGTGGAGCGCGGGGCTGAAGGCAATGGAGGCTAATACAATGTTGGTTTTTTCGTTGCGCTAGGCCTTAAAATGTCGGATGAGGCCACTCCTCGAGCCAAAACTCTAGTCATTAACGCGGAGGGATGTGAAAAGTCTCGGTTCTACGCTTTGTGGGCCAGATGTACTGCGAGCCAAACCTTTTGATTTGGTATTGACGAGCCGGTTAGCTTTAAAGACTGCAGTAAATGACTTCATTAACAATTTCCAGACCGATCGGCCCCAGACGCGGTCCACCCAGTTCACCGCGTTGAATTGCGAGTTCTTCAGGGTGTTCTTGTAGCGTAGTGGTTGAATGTATTTGAGCATCCTAGGAGCCATTTCAGTAATGAAGCAGCGTGCAATTTTGCTATCTTATCTATTAATGCTTCAACGATGTTCAGTTGCGCACACATGAAAGCAGTTTTGTCTTCCTATGCGAAGACGTTTACCATATGCTCCAAAATAAGTTGAGGCTGACGTGTCTTCCAGTTGATTAAGTTAAGAGTAATAAATGACTTACAAATTTGTCTACTTCTTCCTTTCCATCTGGCCCAGACGTTTTATGAAGACTGGGTACAGATGAGGGTAAAGGTATCTAGCATGCCGGAAAACGGCACCTAAGCATGCCCCTACAATCTCCATTTGCGCATTTGTTAAAAGTGCGCATTCCCAATACCATCCACCATACCCATATACAAACGTCGTACTGCTACAAATTACATGACCCATTTAGGTGGCGCACAGCGAGAGAACCGCCGTATTCAACCTTTACGTTGCTTTCATATTTTGGCCTGCTTCTATGCTAATAGCGTTATGTGACCCTCTCCCAGTCCCGAAACTATTGACATCCTGCCCAACGAGGTATCCTCTTTCCGGTACCTGGGCGTTACTCTGGCATATAAACATACATTTACTGTTCAAAGAGAAAGCCTTTAAAAAGATAAATAAACTTTTATATTACATCCGCCGCTTGCGTTCATATCACACACCACAATCCCTTATCTGGCGATTTGTAGATGCCTGCATTCCTCCCCCTCATTCTTTACTGCTCTCCAGTTATTTTCCCAGCCTTATTTAAAAAACAACGGTCATTTTAAGCCAACCCATGAATGCTCTCTTCAGCTGCCGGTGGTCCCTATGTCTTTAGCTGGTATTTCGATACGGCAACGTTTCACAAGCAATTTGTTGATCGTATCCCAAGTGGGGTCGGTCACCATCTCCCCTCTGAACTGATGCCTGCAAAGTCTTCCCGTACTATGCGCCGAGGCTTTTGTCATATGTCTTCCCATATATCAGCATAACAACACTCTGTACTCCCATTCCTAGCAAGCTACCTCACGTGTGAAGAAGCGGAAATTGAGAAGATGAAAACTGACCTGTGGATATCGTATACACCTTTAATTATGAGCGTTCTGTGAAATTTTACCTTTGACCTTCTACGATGAGCCCCTACTTACCTTATCCCTAGCTCTCTATGAATGGAGAAATTTTGCGCTGAAAGTTTTAAGTATTCATAGTAAAGCATTCTCTGTCTCTAAAACATGCTGAACCCAAACCTACAGTGTAATTGACCAGAGCGATAAGCCCAGTGCAATAAAACACTAAGCAACCGCGTGATACGCATCCTTTCAGCCAATTAAAGACAAGAGTCGAGTGATTTGTAACTTCTGTTTTTATAGAAAGTTTATAACAGCAGATGCGCCAATATTCCTCAGTCATTCCCGCTAACGTAAATGTCAAATTTTGCTGAATTTACCATCACATATTTTACTTCGCAGTTTAGGTCTTAGCTATAGCCTTT